GAACCCCACCCTAAATAGAAATATTATTAATTAATAACACTTTCTTTTCATGTTATAGATAGGGTACTTTTTTTTTTCATTTCTACAAATGCGTATTTTTTTTTCATGATATAAAAAAATATTTATTTTTATTTTAACAAGAAAATACTTTCTTTTCGTGATGTATACAAAGTATTTTCTTTTATTTCAACAAAAAAATTATTTTCTTTTCATAACGTGGAAAAAATATTTTCTTTCATTTCAATAAAATGAGTATTTTTTTCATGATGTAGTAAAAAAATATTTTCTTTCATTTCAACAAAACAAATATCTTCTTTTCATGATGTGAAAAAAGTATTTTCTTTCATTTCAACAAAGTGAGTATTTTATTTTCGTATTGCAGAAAGAGTACTTTCCTTTTCAACCAAAAAAGAGTATATTTTTAGTTATGGAGCACAAATTTCGACGTTGTTTTTGCGTAAAAAAATAAAGTAGCACATTAGTTCTTTTGAGTTTGTGTAAATTTTTAGAAGGATAATTAAATTTCTAAGAAAACTTTTTTCATGGTAAACGTTTTTCTTCTTACCAAACACATACACACCCTCAATCTCAAAAAAGCAAATACCTCAAAGAAAAGAAAAGAAAGTACTATTACTAGAAAAAGAAATAAAAAAGAAATAGCAGTTCATTTATGGCGGTAAATTACAGAATCCGGTGCGAATTCCCATGCAAAAAGGTCAAAAAAGATATTCGTCCTATTCTCTCTATGCCATTTGCCACGTCTTTTTCTTTTTAAATACCCCAAGTGTATTGTGTCACGTACTTAAAACCGAAACAAAATAAAAAGGAATAAAATAAAAACATCTCTCTATCTCTCTCTAACGTTACCCGTTCTCTGTTCTACCGAAAATCGCGACTCTTCCAAAAATCGAAATACCTGAAAAAAGGAAAAAAAAAGGAAAAAAAGGGATCCAAAAAATAGGCCCCGACGATAAAAATATTACGCCCCCCAAAAACAACAAACCCTAACCCTAGCTTTCCCTATTTCCCACGAACTATCCATACATCTTTCTCTATTTCTCCGAAAAGGAAATTACAAATCTGAGAGCGTTATCTTATCTTTTATAGATTTGTGTGGAGATAAGTTTTTCCGGTTGTCGCGGCGGCGGAAGTGGCGGTAATGGAATGTTGGAAGGGTGGTTGTGGGAGTGGATGGTGGCGTCGATGACTGGTGGTGGTGACGGTGGCGGCGGGGGGAGATGTCTGCGGCCGAGGAAGATGATGGGTAGGGTATTTACGGAGGAAAAGCCATGCCCAATATCTATCCCTAGGGTTTCGAAAAATGATGAAATTACAGAAAAGCCCTCAGAGTTTGATAAAATTACGGAAATGCCCCAACAACCAGAAAAAACTGAAAGTGCGTTAGACTTCTATTCCCAGGCGAGAAAAGCTTTGTGCCAAAGTAGTCCTTTCGATACCGAGGATTCTACTTCTCAGTCACAGCCGTCTTCTTCCTCTACCGTGCACCTTACTTTACCCAATAACTTAGCGCAGTTGTTAAATAAGCATTCTGATAGTAGAAAACGACACAAGAAGTCTCATGGAGGAATTGAAACGAAGAAGAAGAAGTCATCTTCGCGGCAAAAGGGCGGTCGTAATAGTGGATTCTGGGACGAAGTTGAGGAATACTTTCGTGAATTATCTGTGGAAGATATTGATAGATTGTATAAACTTGGGTCGTTCGAGTTTTTGGGTAATGATAATCAGAAATTATTGTTCATTCCTACTACATTTGACAATGTGGGTAGTGGTGTAAGCAATAGTGGAGTGTTGGTTAAAGAAGAAGATAATAAGGAGAGTGATCAATTTATGGATGTGGACAGTGAAGGAGGAAGGGAAACTGAATTTGTTAAAGAAGAAAAGGATGGAAATGTGAATGTGAAGCCATGTTCGTCATCCTCTTGTTTGCCACTGAGTGGGTTAGAATGGCTATTAGGTTCTAGGAATAAGATATATCTTGCCTCTGAACGACCTTCAAAGAAAAGGAAGCTTTTGGGTGGAGATGCAGGGTTGGAGAAGCTTCTAGTTGCTCGTCCCGTAGAAGGGTCAGCTGAATTTTGTGACTATTGTAGTTTAGGTGACCATGGTGATGTGTTGAACAGATTGATAGTTTGTAGTGCTTGCAGTATGGTTGTTCATCAGAGATGTTATGGTGTGCAGGATGATGTTGATGGCAGTTGGTTGTGTTCTTGGTGCAAGCAAAAGAATGATGAGATGGTAAGTAACGGCAAGCTGCCATGTGTTCTTTGCCCAAAAAGCGGTGGTGCCATGAAACCTTGTAGGAAAAGAGAAGAATCTTCTTGTCTGGAGTTTGCTCACTTGTTTTGTTGTCAGTGGATGCCTGAGGTATATATTGAGAATACTAGGATGATGGAGCCGATAATGAATATTGATGGTATAAAGGATACACGGAAAAAGTTAATTTGTTATCTCTGCAAGGGGAAACATGGGGCGTGTGTTCGGTGCACTAATGGTATGTTTTGCTGCTTCCTTACTTTACAGTTCCTGCATTTCTTCGTTAGATGGCTTTCTCGAAGATGTTTGGTTTATGGGGAGCTACTAGTTGACATAGTTAGGACTCTTTCTGTTTCATAGCAAGTGACTTCATGCTGTAGTCTTTTACTAAAGAATTTCTGTTTGACATATCTTGTATATGCTCATCTCAGTTTTCTTAGGCTGTCATCTTATTTTATCAATCATTTGTACCTGAGCAAGAGTTAAGATTAAATAAATCTTAGTATTTGATTGCAGTGTTCATTATGCACCTTTTTTTGTTGATTGGAATATGTCTGAGGACCAACCGCTACCTTCCAAACTCGGGGACAATGGGTCGCCCCTCTACCCTTCTCCACTTAAATGCCAGGCTTAGCTCGTGTTTTTGTTTGACCTAAGTTGCAAGTCCCTCATAATTCTGTTCTTCTTCTTCCCCTCTCTCCCTACAAATCATGTAAAAGAGTGGATTTTTCCTGATATTTACTTCTTGAAACGCGGCTTTGGAGTTTCAATGAAGTAGGAAATCAGGATAGAGCTACGATTCAGTACAATGTGAATTTGATATCTCTGTTATTTTTTCTGATTTGTTCTTGGAGCTGTTAACTTTCATTGTTTAAGAGAATGTGGAAAGTTTCCGGCAGATTATACTGTTTAGGTCGTGATTTTTCCTTGTTTTCTGTTTTCTCATTTTGTCTGTGGGAGTTGGGGTGTTTTTCTCTTTTATTCGTGCTTTTTCACCTTTCTGACCAGTTACCAACTGGTGTTGACCTAACTTTTCTCAAATATTTTGGTCAGTAGGGTATGAGGAGGTCATTGGATCAGAGAATTTGACCAGTAAATCTATAAAAGTTACAGCTCAGAGTTGAAGCTGAAATTGCTGCTTGGCTTTTAAGCAGACCCTTGAATAGCGTTAGTGATTGAAAGGCTCATATAAGGAATACTTTCTTTTCAGTGATGGGAAGTTGCTTGGTGTCCGTCACGCGAAGGCTTTTTGCAGTTTGAGGGGATTTGTAGTACTTACCACTTAGAAGTTGTATGTTTTTCTTTCGCTTTTCCAGTTTAATGCAGTGTTGTCAAAGGCAAAAAGCTCTAAAAAGCGCTCTAGGTCTATCTGGGATTTAAGCGCAAAGCGCATTTAAAGTGTGGGCTTTAGTTAAAAAAGGCGCAATGAAGGAAATAAATAAAAATTTATATGTATTTCAAGAACAAAGTAACAAATTCATTGATAATGTTTCCCTTAGCAGCTAATACACTTATTTCTGATTATAGTTGTTTTTTAGTGCCGCTTGATTCAAGAGAGAAAGCATGGGTAATGAGGCGCACGCCTTAGTGCCTTGCCTTACACTGAAGCGCAACTAAAGCGAGGCAAAGCGTCCTCCTTGAGCTTTTTTGAGCTTCAGGGCTTAAGCGCGCCTTAAATGAGCCTTTGACAACACGGGTTTAATGGACATCAAATTGATTGATTCTTACATATTCTCAACTTGCCAAAGAGTCTCATAGATACACAAGGGAAAGGCCGTGTTTTCTTTGTTTCAAGAAGTCGATTATGATTTGAATTGGAAGCTAATACTAATTACTTTGAGGATAAGATATGCATTGGATCCGCTTAGTTTGCTTAATCTTGACCTTTCAAAGATCCATTTTGGTATATGGCTTGATCCCCCTTTCCCCCCCTCCCTGCGTGATGTCCTTCTTGGAAGGTAGATGCTTCCCAATTATTGGCCTGAAATTTCCAGCTGTGGGGATGAGGGGGTTTTAGTCTCTAAAAGGAGTCTAGGATGCAATTCCGCATCATGGAGAGACTGTGCGATAATACCGCACCGTCAAAACTAGGTCATTGTTTAGACTTTAAGCTTGTGGATGAACTTATATTGCAAATAAAGAGCTTATTAGAAATCTTTTCTATTTTCATTTACTCTTTTGGTGTAAACGGAAATACCCATGTGTGTATAGATCCTCTGGAAAATTGGTTGATGATTGTGGTTAACCTTACCTCACACCATGTATTTAGTTGTTGACACATAGTGTAGTTTTTCTGATCTATCCCTTAAAAAGACAGAGGTCTCATTAACTTATCTTGTTCATTATATTATATGAGCTGAGACTCAACTTTGATCGAGAATAGTAACGGGATGAGCTGAGTTTGTAAACTTGAGCTTGGATGATTTTTGGTCACTATCAATGTCTTTGGTATATATCTACTCAATGCCTTATTTTTATGCTAAGATGAAAACCTTACAGACTAAAGTCTTTATCCTTAAAATAGAAATACATTACTCTCTCTAACACATTGTATGTGACGGTGTTTAAGAAGAAAGAAATACTTTTGAAATTGTGGTCTAAAACAAGCCATAGATATTTGTGTGGCTATAAATTATCTCATTAAGGATAAATGGTGAAGTTTAAAGTTAAATTTTTCTAAATATAGAAATGTGTTATTCTTTTTGAGACAAAATGAAAAGGAAAGTATGCACATAAAATATGGGAGTATATGTTATGGTATGTGACCTTCAATTAAAACTTCAGTTTATTTACTTTATCAAGCCAAGCTTGTATACGAGTCACAATAAAGCTTGTTTAGTATTTAAATTGTGCTCAAGCTGGGTTCCTATAATGCTCGAGTTGAGCTCGAACAACCAAATAACTGTTGGAGTATGTACAATTGAGGTGTTGATATTAACATTCAAGTGTCTTTCCAAATAGCCCTGGGGCATTCCTCTAGTGTTAAGAGCACAATGGGTTAGGCTCACTTCACGGGCTTGAACCTAAATGGAAACAAAAGCCTTGTTTAAGTGGAGAAAGATAGATGGTTAGGCCCATTATCCACCGAGTTTCGAACCGTGCGCCACTGACGCTCATGGATTTCTCGGTTATTAAAAAAATGTCTTTCCAAATATTTGATAATTTAAAGACTTATGTGTGGAAGAACGGATGAATTTTCATATATGAATCCAAGTTCTTACAAAAAGACTACTAATTGAAGGCAATGAATTAAGAATTAGGGCAATGACTGAATTGGCTCTACAAACATTAGAATCCCAACAAGATTAGTTGGGGCATACTTTTGTTTTTCGTTCTTTTGCTATCTTGTACAGTCCCAATCGCACATTCTTTGTGCTGTTTTAATTTATAAAATTACTTTACCTTCTTTATAAAAAGAATTAGGGGAATGGCTATTTATTCTTTGTTTTTCCACCTTTTTTTGTTGAAGAGATAATTCCAAAATGTTTGGTTGCTATTGATAGTTGATTCTAACTCTTAAAAAGCCTTAAAAATTGAATATAGTGAAGACAGAATGGGAGAATATCTTCTATTGACTATGGTCATCTCGTTTTGCTAATTTGGATCGTTTGCTTTCCGTCGCAACTCGCAATTACACTCTTTTTACCTTTTTTTTTTGGGGGGGGGGGGAGCAAAACAGATTCAAAGCTCCAGAAAAATTGCCTCAAATTTAG